TGTGTGTGTGTGTGTGTGTGAGGCGGGTGCTGTGTGTTTCGCTTCTGCATTTCGCTGCTCGGCCGTCACGCAGGGGAAGTCAGGCCGGGGAAACTCTTCCTGGGATTTGCAGAAGTGGCCGGGGAATCGGAGCCCCGGATACCGCCGCCGGTCTGACCTCGAGACTTGTGGAATGAGGCGTTTTGAAACGACACGAGCCCAGGCTCCCGCCGGGTCTGCAGGCCCTGCAGCGTCTCGGCCCGCTGTGCGTCTTCACGCTCTCCCCTCGCCCGGGCCCGAGAGATGGGGTTGGGGGGCGCACCCGCGCGCTCCCCCACTCCCAGGATGGCGGCGGTCGGGCGTATACGTCTCGATGCCAGGTGGAAACTCCTCGGATCCCGGTTTTTTTTTCCTGTGGAAGAGCAGCTCCGGGGCTCCATCAGGCTGCCCTGTTTCCTGAGGCGAGCAGCAGGCGGGGGGGGCAGCCCCTGGCCCCTGGCCCCTGGCCCCAGGAGAAATGGACAGAGGCGGACCCCCTCCCCTCCCCTCCCCACCCTGCTTCCTGGCTTGTTCGGGTGAGGGCTGGACACCCGGGCCCCCCCTCTCCGAGCAGCTGTCGCGCCACCCTGCCGAATGCGGCGCCGCGGTGCCATGTGGCTCTCCCGCGGACGTGTGACCTGACCCTGCGGACAGCCCCCCCGCGGTGACCTGCCGACCCACCCGATCCCTCTCTGCAGGGGCTGGATTGGCACGGTGAAAGAGCCCCACCCCCTGCCCTTGTCCCTGTCCTGGCTCTGGAAGAGGCTGGGGGCATGTCTGCAGGGTGTCTACGTGCCCGGGAGTACAGGAGATCCAGCCTGCCCTTTGATCCACTCCGGTTTCACCAGCTGCCAGCTGTTGTGTACAAGACAACCACTCCAGCACCTATGGAGCTAGAATAATGTTAAAGCCTTTGTTTCATCCCCCTGCTCTCCTCCCCACTGAGAGCTGGTGTGTGGGGAGCGGACTGGAGCATCATCCAGGTGGGGTACACACTGGTGGGGGTGGAGGGGATCCCCATGACCTGTACAGTGCTGTGAGTGGGGTGTCCAGAATACCACTATAGAAGTGGCAGGAATGCTTATTATTTGTCAGTCCAGATACTACAAGAGGCTGCGGGGCTGGTCAAACCTGGAATGGATCACAGCTGCTCTGAACAGGCGTGTCTCCAGTGTGTGTTGTGTGACTCCAACCCAGAAACAATGTCCCATCCCTCCAGATAAGCATACTCCTTTCTTTTTCATATTGTTACATATTTATTAAAAAATAACATTAATAATAAAAATAACAATAATAAAAATTAATTACATTTAATATAAAACTCCCCTATTAAATAACTTAAATATGACAATAGAGTGTGGTGTGCAGGTGAGCTACAGGGAGGTGAAGACATGGTACACACACAGGCATCTCGGTGCTCCTCCCCTTCCTCTGCAGACCCACAGCCCTGCTGTGCTGACAGGGGACAGGGGCGTCCCCACAGCCCCAGACTGGGAGCTTGACAGCCGTGAGACTGGGGCGGGACGAGACGTGTGGCTTCGTGTGCATAAGAAAAACGAAGGGCAGTCTTGAGAAAAATGACACAGCTTTCAAGATGCACAGACACAGTGGTTCCGAGACAGTAGGAGTCTGCTTGGAAATGGAATTGCAGCCCCTGTGTGTACACACACACACACACACACACACACACACACACACACACACACACACACACAGCTGGAGTACAGACTCTTACTGGAGCCCCTGTGTATGTGAACCTCTCTGCTCCTCAGAATTGCCTGGGCTTCTCCTCTGTCACACACACAAGCCATGCCGTTTTCGTGCTGGTCCCAGTCCTATGCAAATCTTTTGCATTTTCCAGTGTCATCCCCATTGTGCAGTACTGACTGCGCATTGTGCAAGCAAAGTGTTTTGGTTTGTTTTTTTTTTACAGAATTAAGGACGATACAATAAGTGAGAGTGGAGTCAGTAGTACTTGACAGACTAGCACCTGAAGGTGAGCCCAGAAGCGGTCCCTGCGTCCCCGGGCAGGACTTCCTGCCCCGCCCCTTCCTGCAGGGCAGCAGGCCAATCGCAGGCTGAGCCTGCAGTGTGCAAGGCCTCCTGGGAAAGGTGTGAGCCTGAGACCGCTGGAAGCCCCAGAGAGTGGCAGCCCGGCCGAAATACACAAGGTTTGATCTGTTCCTTATTTATGCTTTGTCTTTTCCCCAGGAAAGCGCAATGGATTCTTAGGAACCCAACCCATCGTCTTACGTCACAGAACTCTTTCGTCCTGCGTCCTTGACTTTTCTCTGTGCTGGTGTCTGTGACGTTTTTCGAATATACATTCAGAATCCATTACAGTCGAGGCGAACGATCGGTACGGGGTGTCTGCGTGTACCTCCAGATCAGGTCTTGGGGGGAAGAGTAGCCCCTGGATTTCATACCCCAGGGTCCCCACAAGGACATCGCATTTCTTGTTTTGCCAAAAAAAAACAAAACAATCGAGCCTGCCCACGAGGCGGGAGGAACCTCCCTGCAGATGTCCTTTCCTGTTTCACCCGGCGGCGGTTCAAACCCTCTCCAGCAGGGGGCGCAGTAGCCACTCTCCCCCACCTCCTGCCAGACCGGTCACAGCATGGGCCGCCCCCCCATCACAGGGGAAGGCAGAGCGTGGGGTGGGGTGGGGGACCTCCCCATCCCTTCCCTCGCAGGAGGTCTTCCTAATGATTAATCCACTCGCGGCTGGAAACGGGGACCCTCCCCCCCTCCTGGCCGGCCGGAACCACGCCTTGGACTGGGAGCAGGTGGAACAATCCCACTCGCTGACCCCCCCCATCTGCCGGCTTCAGCTGGAGTCCATCCCGCCGGATCCAGGACGGCTTCGGCCCCCCAATTCCCAAACCTTTTCGCAATACAAGCCCTGTCTCCTCCGAGGTGTCAAGAGGTCCAACGTGTGTCTGACTCAGGGAGGGGAGGGGGGGACCCCAATATTTTGGCCAGCGAGTGCACGTTTAATCAATGGTTAAAGACGTAGTTGACCCCGGTGCTGGAGATGGCAGGCGTTTGTGTTGGATCCCTTTAACCCACATTCCTGGGCAGGTGGAGCCAAAGTCTCCGAGGTCCAGTGGAATCCAGTGGATGTTTTTTTCTCTTCCATGTCATTAGCTCTTTTCTCGAAAAGAAGGCATGACATCATCACGGCAAGCCCCTCCCACCTCCCCCTCCTCATTGGTGCGTATCCAGTGTCCAGCCCAATCAGATAACTCCTTGTTATGGAAGAGGCGTGGCCTTCGCTGCTGCAGTGCCTGATGGGACTTGCAGTTCTCCAACTCCCGAGAGAGAAAATACTTTCAGCTGGCATCATTTTCAGTAGTTCAGTGCATTTTCGAAAAAGAAAGGATTGCGAACCATTTGTCGCAACGACTCGCCTGATTATTATTTGTATTATTACTGCTGTTGTCGCTGCAAATCATCATCATCATAATAATAATAATATTAAGAAATTAAACCATTTTACAAGTCATTTCCAATATAAAAATATACTCTTGACAACAGCAATAATAAAAAAAAATAATAACGTCATTTAAAAACAGAGACGGAAAGTTTCAAAATATCGTCCATCCACGAGGTCCCGTTTTCAGGCAGCTCTCTGGTTGCTCCTGTTCTCACAGATGTGCCGTCAGGAACCGTTTCTGCAAGGTCCTGGAGGAGAGAGGAGGGAAGAGGGGAGCAGGGGCGTTAGAAGAGGGTTTTCCCCAGGAGACAGAGTGGGAGAATGAGAAAGGACCCTGCAATAAAACCAGCATGCAGCTGCCTTGAAAGACACTCTTTAAAGAGACAGAGAAGTTGACACAGACGATACCGATATAGGACACAGGCAGACAAACAATGGGGAAACTGCTCAGGGCATAGCGGTCTGAGCCATTCCGGGTTTCCGCAGCGGCAGAATCTTGTGCGCGCAGTGTGGATGAAGAGTAGCATCACTTGTATAAAATCATTGTCACTTTATACATCTTTTCAGATGTACTTGGAAGGCAACAACGAGCAGTGCCGTGTGGGCACCAGAGCCTGGATCGTGTACGGAGAACCCGGACCGGGATCGGCCTGCTGTGCCGCGGGACTGCGGTGTGTCTTCCCCGTGCAGGGAGGGGCTCACCAGGTTGATCTACAACAGCAGTGCCCGCATGGCTGCCTTGGTCAGGCCGTGCCGGGTCTTGCGCTGTCTCTTCCTGTGGGGGCGCCGCGCCCGCTGCCGAGCGGGAGGGGGCGTCGCCGGGGGGGCCGCTGTCCCTGGGGGGGGGAGAGAGAGAGAGAGAGAGAGAGAGGAAGGGGAGACGGGTGAATTTCGTGAGGCTGCCAGGGTGTGAGGGTGGGGCAAGATGAGCGTTCAGTACCAGGGCACTAAGCTGGCACCGGGAACCCCCGGGGGGGGGAAAGACACAGCCCCGCACAGGTGGGCCGAGCGAGGTGAGGCCAGACAGGTGCTCAGAAAGCCCAGGGCAGACGGGAAACGCTCGATGACGCAGAGGCAGGCCGGCCCGCATGAGGCTGACGCAAGCACAGCGATATGTTCCTGCTCTCTATAAATAGGGCTCCCTCTATCCTGTCTCCGAGTCAGACAGGCAGACTGAAGAGGCGTGTGTGTGTGTGTGTGGAGGCAGTGGTGGGGGGTTACCTGGCCTGTGTGTTGTAGTTCTGTTGCTGGGGTGCTGTTGGTCTTGGTGATGCTGTTGCTTGTGATGTTCCTCTGGCTGCTGCTGTTGCTCCTGGTGTTGCTGTTTCTGATGCCGGTGATGTTCCTCTGGCTGCCGTCGGTGTAAGTGTTGCTCTTCTTCCAGTTGCTGCTGTTGCTCTTTGTGTTGCAGTTTCTGATGCCGGTGATGTTCCTCTGCCTGCTGTCGGTGTAAGTGTTGCTCTTCCTCTGGTGGCTGCCGATATACTTCTTCTGGAGGGTGATGAGGATCGTGGTGCTGTGGTTGTGTCTGTTCTTGCTGCTGCTTCTGATGCTGATGATGATGCGGTTGCGGTGTCTCTGGTTGCCGTGACTCCGGTTGCCGTGGCCGCGCTTGGTGCTGGGGCTCCCTCGGGGCAGCTCGGGGCACATCAGCGGTGGACGCACAACGGCAGGCCAGGTGGTCCTCCACCGACACCACCGCCCGGCCGTAGTTGGTCTTCTTGTTGACGTATTCGATCTTCACCACCTGTTGGCCCCACCCAGAGATCAGAGGTCAGAGGTCAGGGGTCAACGCAGAGGGCGGTACGAGCGCCGCCGAGAGCGGGGAGGGATAGCGAGATGACGCAGTACCGCCGACTGACCTGCAGGTGGCGCAGATGCACCGCGGTGGGCAGGCAGCGCTGCCCCCGCAGGCTGCAGCAGCCCGAGCAGCGCTGCACCTCCACGCACGGCGGCCAGACCAGGAAGTTGGCGTTCCTGCGGTCCACCATGCCGCGGGTGATGGCCATGACCTCCGTCCGCACCTTGCACTGGGCCTGCACCGCGGGCTCGGCCTCCAGCACTGCAGAGCAAGAGGGCAGAGGGTGAGGGTGAGGGTGAGGGAGGGGGCACAGGGCACGGGGTGGGGCGGGGCACGGGGTGGGGCGGGGCGCGGCGCGGCGGCAGCAAGGGGGCACTCACTCAGGCTCCTCGGCAGGCGGCTGAAGGTGCTGTTGGAGAGGGCGCCCCCACTGGCCGGGCTGTCCGGGTCGTCCTCTGGAAGAGAGCGAGGGAGAGGGGGGGCAGGGTGAGCGGACGGCCACAGTCTCTCCCCACAGCCCTCCGGCCGAGACCCCCGGGGGTCCTGCCTCCAACTCACGGCGCCCAGGCTCCAAGGCTGCCTCCCTCCCTCTGCCTCTGTTTCTCAGCTCACACTGCCTCCCTCCTCCTGCCTCTCTCTCTCTCCCCCTGCCTCTCTCTCTCAGCTCACACTGCCTCTCTCTCTCCTCCT